CCCCCCCACCCCAGCTGGGCAACTTGTCCCAACCCCAATCTGTCCCTCCCCCATGCCGCAGACTTGTCAGCTGCCTGTTTAGTTTATGGCCAGATCACCAAATCAGTTCAGATGCTTCAAATATATTTGGAGCTTTTAATTGCTCTCCTGATTCAATTTGGATTCAGAGATTCGGTCCCCGAATTGGGACAAATCTCCTCCAAATTGAATCGGCTACCGAAGCCTCACACAGCCCCAGTGCAAACATGATTCACAAGATAAACCCAGAGATTTCATATATAGGAATCTATAGTGTTAAAAGCATTCTTTGCAATAGAGCAGATTCTCTATTACTTTTATGTAGTCAAAAAAACAATCAAGTGAAAAACTAAGACCTGACATTTTCCAAGGGGTATCTTGAATCTATCAAGGGGTGCCTTTAGACACAAATAGGTTGAAAAGTGCTGCCTTATGGACACCAGTTTCCTACTGGGAGCTGGACTGAGTCCTACTCACTCATTTCTCCCAGTCCTGAGCAGCTGCCAGCAAGTAGCATCTTACATTCAAGAACTAGGGTTACATTTGAACCAGTAAGCAGGAGGTAAAGCACTCCATGACCTTGTGAGAGGATTATGTATGAAACATAGCCATGCACTGTAGCCCCATTGTGAAGAACAACTACAGGAAAATGCACCAAGGATAAGGGACAGAAAACAAAAGGGTGGTTCCTTTTGCGAGCCCATTTTATGTTGAAAGCATAGGGCAAATCCAGCTTACTCAGCCAGGAAATGATCCCATTGAGTTTACAGATCTTTTCCCTGAAGATTTAAAAAGGCATTCTGGTATTCAGCCCCACATTCAGATAAACAGGAGTCCTGATATAAAATATCGCACAGCTTAAGAGTTACATTGGCTCAGAGCAAAGTGAACAAGCAGCCAGTTTCTAAGTAAGGTCATTGAGATTCTTCTTGCTGCTGCTCCATTTGGAACAAGCCAGTGGTTCTTTGGTAGCATGGACCTTCACCAAGCATTTTCCTTGGCAACTAATCCTCTGTGAACTTCACTGAGCAAGTGAGCCAAGCACTGCCGCCTCCCCATCAGAATGACTACAGTTTTCACACAGGAAGGGGCCAGTCCACATCTTTTCAACAATGCACTTGAAGCCACGTGTGAATATGTTGCTGTAGGACCTGAAGCCTATGAACAACTGAGTGCAAAGCTGGGAGAGAGGAAACCTCACAAACATTTGTACAACAGTAATCCAGACCTATAATTAACCAGTATTTCACATCTTTCTTTCTGAAGCAACACCACTTCATAACCCTTGAGATACCAATATAATGCAGAGAGACTGGAGGCAAAGCTCCAGCCTCTCTGCTCACTGGGTTATCCTCTCCCAGTCATTGCCACCCCTTCAGTGGGCTGGCCCTCCAACCAGTCCTCATTTCAACCCTCAAATCTCACCCAAAGTGGCCAGAAGACCTTTATTTTTCAGTCCTCACAATAGGGATGCATTGGAACCATGATCCTGCCAACACGTGTGAATAAATCCGGTGGCGTTCCACAAAATTGCTTCTATGCCTGAAGTTTAGTAGTGCATAATAGTATATAAGGGAGTACCTTCCATTACTGAAAGTATGGCCCCACCACACACAAGAAACTTAACCCCAATCTGTTTTTGGGTTTCAGTTACTTCAGCTCATGTTCCTTTGTTAGCATAGTTCTCCAACCACATTGTAAGCTCCTTGGGACAGGGGGCTTCTTCCTGCAACCTCACACCATTTTTAGGGTGCCTGGTATGCCATCTATGTTGTACAAACAAAGAAGAATTGTGCTGTCTCTCAATGCTTCTCGCTTTTTTTTTTATTGCAGGGTGGAGCCATCTCTATTCTAACTGCAAGTGAGAGGCCAAATGACTTTTCGGGCATGGTTTTAATTTCTCCTTTGGTTGTAGCAAGCCCTGAGGCAGCAACACCCATCAAGGTAATGGAAGAAAAAAAAAAAAAAAAA